AGAGAATTATTTTGTAGAGATACTGCTTGCAAACCAATGATGTAAGATGATGTCATGGGGTAGGACTGGATAAGTCTGACTTCTTCCTACTCCATTCAAGCATGTACTAGGTATAAGCAAATTGATATTGGATTAGCATTTGTTGGATATGTGTAAAATTATGTGTGTTGATATATCAACTGTCTTTACATGCTTGAAAGAATAAATCAAATCAAATCAAAGTATGAGGGACTATGTAATAGTCAACTGAGGTGCAATACTCAAACCCGGGGGGTAAAATGCATGGTTAATATGCACATATGTAAAATCTGTTCTTGATTTCTCTTGAATACTTTATGCTGTCATGTCTGTTTATGTATTTTTGAGTAGTTTTTCTGAGATCCTCATGGCTGAAATACAGGTATTTCCCCCATTGCGGGATCAATTATGAGATTAATATTCTTGTCCTTGATCTATCTCAAACACTATATTTTGTCTTGTTCTGAGGTATTTTGATCTGTTCTCAGGGATTAATTGTGGGATCATTCTTGTTTCTGATTGACTCTCAAATACTATACTCTGTCTGGTTTTAGGTACTATACTCTGTCTGGCTTTAGGTACTTTGGAATTTGTTTATCAGGATATGTGTGTGGTGTCTGTTCTTATGGTGTTTTGTTGCTGCTCTCTATTGCTGCTGGAACACAGGAATTTCCCCATTGTGTGATCAATAAAGTCCTACCTACCTACTGTTAACTGCAAAAAATGCTTTGAAACGCTGAACCATCTTCAACACAATTGCTTGATACCGATTCAGTGCTTCAGAAAGCTTCAATTAATCCATTACTAACCTGACATGGTGTGATCTAAATGGCTGCTGGTGGGAGAAGCTCTGAGATCGGCCCAGGCTGTGTTTCACTTGCAGCTCTGTAACTGCAGGGCTGGATGATGAGGGAGCCTTACTCAGCCAGGGCTCCATGGAAGAAGTTGGCACAGAGGATGTGAACTGGAGCTTTAGTTTCATGTGCTGGCTCAGCTACAGTGTTATCATAGATAGGAACAGACAAGATGGAAGAGCACTTTGACTTTGACTATATGTAGCAGTGTTCATATCGTCAATAAAAACCTGTGACAAAATATAACAGCAAATAATGTGAAACCAGTGTGGTATGAATAGACAGTTAATTATTGTTTAAATACAACGGCAGACTCATGCTTTGTATTGGTGTCTGTCTATTCAAGATAAATGTAAGAAATTTACAAGTAATAAAGTCTGACAAAATAACTTCAAGTAAAATATTACCTCAGATAGTGCAGCTTAAAGATGGCATGCTTTTCCTTGTTTTCTGACTTATCTACAATGTTACGGTGAATTAGATGTGACCTAAAGCTCAAAACATTTGGTGTACATATGTTTTAGTATTTCTATGCAGAAGCAACTCTGTTTATACATGTCTTGCAAACTCCTGCTCATGAGACTTTTTTTTCCTAACAAAATAACGTATTACATGATAGTTTAAGGAATGGGCATAATCTCCAGGGAGTTGCACATTCATGTGAGCTTGCCTGACATTCACCGTGCCATTGTAAAAGCTGAATTTTTTTGACTGCGTCCAGTTATGTGGATATATTTTACCTCCTGTTGATGCTGCACTGTGACCAGAGTATGTGGAGAAAAATACAGGGACTGAGGTTACTGCAGATTAATCATTAAATGGCTGGAAACAAGCAAAATGAGCATGACACTGGCACTTTAACTACAAATGTTAGGGTAGCCTTTCCACTCAGGCCTTGTAGTATTTTATTTAATTACCTGGATAACCAAACTGTAGAAGAATTTGTTTTTGAAAAATGAGGACTGCACTCCCACTGTGTTGCAATTCTCCTCAGTTGGTCCAAGGGCTGGGTATTAGTTGAAACTTTTGGTAACCTTAACAAGTGTGTTGAAAACTTCCAAGTTGTATTGTAAAGTGCTTAAACTGTAGACTGTTAAACAGTTGGTATTATGGCGCCTTTTGGCCCATTTTTATAAATATTGAGTGTATTTTAAACACACTTGTATCTGTGACAGTTTATTCTCCTGGGGGTGTCTAGATTGGGCCTAAAAATCTTAGAAACATGCTATCTAACCATATAGTTACTCTAGGTGACATAGCACTGGCCTCCAGTACTACTGTGAGGAGCCTTGGAGTCTTTTTTGACCAGGCTATGTCCTTTAAATCATAAACACATAAACCAAGTCTCTAGACCTGCCTTCTTTCACCTGTGCGATATCGCAAAAAATCAGGATTTTAGAAGCACTGGCAAAGATCTAGCCACTGCAGCAAGCAATGCCTCAAACCTTGCCAGTGCTTCTAAAATGTATCAGCCTGTCCATTCAGCATGATTTTGAACTGGATCAAGAAGATAGTGATGAGGATGTCAATTTTACAGAGTCCCTCTCCACAAAGGGTAAAGGTCATTATACTGTAAGTCAATAAATAACTAACTAAGAAAGTGAGCAAGTAGGTCACTAAGTGCCATAACTAAAGTACTGTAGGTCAGTGAGACAGTCAAGAACTCAATGAGCAAGACAGTAACTAACTGTGTAAGTCAGCCAATAAGTAAGTGAGTAAATAAGTAAGAAAGAGAAAGCTAGTAAGCCACTAAGTAACTAGGTAAGTAAGTCATAAGTGACTTATTAATTTGCACATACTCTACACACAGAATACTGCTCTGTTATTCATTTGCACACTGTACTCTACACATGCAGATACTATATATTTATCTTTGCACTATTTACATCCACTGAACTGTTAACTCATGTAACTTTTTCTTATTCTGCACTATTTCATAATCGTAATATACTTTATCATTACTTGTAATTTATATCCATAAAGACTGTTGTATATTGTACATTACCTTACACATCTTACTGTAATTATCAATTGTACTGATCTATTGGTAAATTAGTTCTGACTGTACAGACTGTAGATACTGCACACTCTGCACTGCTGTTATTGCACTTCTGGTTAGATGCTAAACTGTATTTTGTTGCCTTGAACATGTGTGATGACAAAGTTGAATCTAATCTAATCTAATGTGATTAAGTAAGTAATTATGTAATTTGGGAAGTAAATAACACCCGAGTGAGTAAGTAATTATGTAATTTGGGAAGTAAATAACACCAGAGTGAGTAAGTAATTATGCCAGTAAATAAAGGAGCTTGAATCATTAGTTAACCAAGTAACTAAGTCATTAGCTAAATAGGTTTTTCATTAAGCATGTCAGTAAAATAGGTCAGTGAGGAAATACTGCAAGTATGCCACTAAGAAGGAAGGAAAGAAGCCAATGAGGAAAATAAGAAAGGAAGGAAGAAAGGGTGCAAATAAATAAAAGGCATGACTCAGCAGGCAGCTGGCGACATCACTCACATGAATATCTGCAGTGTACTCAGTATACAGTAAACTCATGGCATCACGCACACAGTTTATTTTGGTACCTCAAAGAGTCCAGTCCTCAGGATCTGGAAGGCCACAGTGAAGGAGATAGTGGAGCCCTTCCTACACTGTCCAAGACTGTTGAGGGGAGACTGGCACACCACTGCTCCAACTCCTGTGTCCTTCTGATTTCCTCTATGAGCTGAGAGATGGGTGTATAGATGGATGGAGGTACAGACCACGTGGTGAGGAGAGGAGATAACAAGCACAGGTAGTAGAAAACAGATTAAGACACTACACTGGATGACTTAAAAGCTGTGTATCCAAGTAGTATACTGGTACAGCCCACTCGTTCATCCCAATACATCTGATTTACAGAGTATATGAGTCAATCATCGCTTACATTCTGAAATGAAGCAAAACAAACCAACTAGGGAACCCCATATTTGTCCTGTCTCTTTGAAGTCAATCTGCCTTAAGCCCGTAGGAGCCTCTTGCCTGCCATCTACAGCTTGGTACCCACCTCAACGCCTACCCAACTGACCCCTCTTTGTCTCATCACTGGATACATTGCTACAAGATTCTGGTTTCTTCATTCTCTCCCTCTCTGGCATCTTTCCTGACCTTTATTCTGAATAGGAGCAGTTTCAACCACCCACTGTAAAGGTATCCCCAACCATCACATCAAAACCACTGGCAATTGGACCAGAAGGACCCTTTTCCATCGCCTGGTACTGGCTCAACTCGACTCTAGGTACTGGGTGCATGGTTTTCCACAGCAGATGGTCGCCTCTCAGTGTAGCTGGTTGTCATAGCGATACCGCATTGCACTGCCATGACATCGCCAGCAATGAACACAGTAATAATGGAGAACATCAAAGATATGCTGTTCTTGATTCTTGGTATGTGGCTGTTCTGAGTAAGGATAGTAACTATAGTAAAGTAGCGGATAGCGATAAATAATGTTGACTTTTAAAAATGGCACTTTCTTTGTTCCAGGACATCTTGCACATTGATGAAGCAATTTGTCTGACCAGTCACTAGTCTGCAGTGTTTACACATCACCATTTGGAACCTCTGCTCGCTTGGAACCTCGATGGAGGTGATACCAAGAATAGTACCAGGTTCTATCCCCAACATTTGACTGATGGAAACACAAATAAGGAGAGCTGAACTAGGTACCAGGTGCTGGCAAAGGGGCCTAAGTTACACCAAGCACCATCCTCCTTCATACACTAAGAGCAGGCCCCATCTAGCAAATACAGAATCAAGACAAGCATATTTAATACCAGTGCAGTCTGCTTGTGCTCGGACAAAACGGAAGGGTTGGGGAGGCATCCGGCATAAAACCCATGCCAAATCACAGTAATCTGCTGTAATGGCCCACACACGATGGGGAGCAGCTGAATGAGGAACAACAACAACAACTCAGCTGATGCTACTCACCTTCAGAACTCCAGATGAGACGAACGGCCAAGAAATCCTGCAAGTTGTTCATCAGAGTGTATGTTACCCGGAAGGGCTCCAGGGGCCTGACTACACTGGGACAGGAAGCTGTCATCACCAGTCGTGGACAATCCAAACGGATACTGGGTAACAAGTAACAACTAGAAATGTATCTGCAGAGAAAACAAACTAGCATTTCAATCTGCTTTAACAAACCTTGTCACAGCAGACATATTAGGCTCGTCATAGCATAGAATAGCCGACCTGTCAAAAGTGGCATTATATTTATTTATTTATATAAATATAATAAAATACTGACAAATATGTATTCATATATTTTTGTTGTTTGCAATAATTAACATATAAAAAATACAAAGCAAATACACATGAAAACCTTAGCATGTCATGCATGGAGCACGTTGTCTATACTCTATCTAATACCCAGACCACCGAATGTATATAAAAATGACATCACATTACCAATTCCCATTACTATGCAAAAGTGAAGCCAAAGTATTGTAAATGCGGTGGCGGCCATCTTACTTTTTTGTAACCAGATTCTGTACAATAACAACCTGAAGTGTAGTTACAGCATCAGACCGCCAATCAAAGCTGTCAAATGAATCGAAACAGTACACTTCTTTTCATATAGTCAAATAACCTATTAAAAACAAACTTACCAGATAAATAATCACTTGTACACAAATCAGCATGATAACATCTCCCAAAAATGATAGAAAGCATCTCTGGAAAAAATGTATTTGATTTGTACTTTGAGTGTTTACTTTGGCTCATGCGCCACCCACTGACATGGAGGGGGTGGGATTTGTTAACTTATACTGCAACCAGCCACCAAGGGGTGATCAACTTGTAATGGCTGCATTTCTGGGAGCTGTACATCATATACTGTATTACAGTCAGTGGCCCAGACAAACACTTTTCTTACATCAAGTTATTCTGCGTTACACACCACAAAACACGTATTCTACAAATTATTGTTCTACTACATTGTGGTCATAGTACCCCAGTATACATAGAGAATTTCTAAATGGCTCCATTTCAAATGTTGAACAAAACAGGAATAGTTACCTTGTGAAAGGAAATGTTACAGTGTACCACTGTATCACAGCCACCAGTGGAATTTCCAAACCCTACACAAATATATAGAATAACCTCATTACAACCCATACTTCATACATGTGACTTGCACAGATAATGTGCCAAGAAGGTGAAAAAAGTACCATCACTCTAAACCCCTTGTGATATTCTATGTATTGTACTGTCAACAAATCTCATGTGCACAGCAACTACAATGGATTGATCTCACTAACAAGTATTTTGGGTGTATGACTAGGGAAGTCATTTTCTTCAGAGACATTGACCTTTATGATACCCGCTAATTAAATAAAGAAGAACTGAAATAACCTGACACAGACTCCATTATTATTCTCACCTCACTGGATTCTTCCTCTTTGTTTTGTAGATGCAACTGGAAGAGGAAGTTCTGCTCCTCCAGAGCACTGAGCACACTCGGTAAACGTGATGACTTGCTGTCTATTCGACAGAATGAAGCCGTGGTCACCTCAGCTGACTGGTGGCTTTAGTGGGAAGTGGTAACAAAGAAGTGTTTAAGAGATTTTAAAGAACAAATAAGAAAGAAGTTTTACAATTCAGTAAGTACCTATTCAGTTATGGGCTTTTTGACTGGTTGAATGGACAGCTTTCCAAAGAAATGTGCAAAAACTATTGGGAAAATTAAAATTTTGACCCAATGACTGTACTAAATGAAAAAGTCAGTGCTCACCAGAGTGGAAAGAATCGAATATCAGAACCAAATTTCATGGCAGTCCATCCGATAGCTCTTGAGACATCTCATTCAGAAGCAATAGTGTAAAATACATTCTCTGGGGCCTTACTGAAAAACTGTTTCATGGTGTTCTAACCAATAGTTGATATTAAGTTTTGTTCTGGAGCAATGGAGTGACCAACCAACACACTGACTCTGAAATCCATGAAGTCACTCACTAAAAACTGCTTATGATGTAAGCAGGGTGCAAATTTAATTTTTGAGCTCAGCTACACTGAAAGAAAATATTTGCCATTTCATATCAGTTTCAACTGCTTTGGAGAGAAAAAGGTTGTAAAAATATTAACCAAAATATGTACAAAGTCTGCGAGTGCAACCAAATGGAACCAGATCTCAGACCTTCTAGACAACATGCTGCATACATCACTTTACTCAAGCCATTTTCTTTTATTTGAAAGAGAATAAGTGCAGATGTACTTACCAGACATTGTCAACTATGAGAACTGAGCCATCTGGCATCATGGGAAGGTAAGATGAGTTATAGTTAGGAAGGATCTTCACATCTTTAACACACAACTCCTCTTCAGAGCAGCAGTTCAACACTAAAGAGAGAGGAAGGAGGTGACATGCACAGGATGCAGGACACGACACGGTCACATAGCCTGTTTGTAATTTGCCATTCCTTGAATCCATCAGGCTTCGGCCCTTAAAGAGAGACGTTACTAAATTTTGTCCTGTCTCCATTTGGACATTTTAACTGGTGTCTTCGTTGTAAATGACCATCTTTCTTCAGCATTAGATTTCACAGTGTGAGTGTGTGAGTGCATGTCTGAAAAGGGTTTAAGTGTCTGGATGTGAAACAGGCCTGTAGTTATCTGACAACATTAAGTTATCAAAAGGCATTTGTGGCCAAGTACCATCATATTACAATTAAAGCAGAAACGGCTTGTCTGAAAGGACACTAAACAGTCCACCTTGTGTATTTCTGAAATAAGTAAGGAGGATACTTTTTTCTTTAAAATCCAAAGACTGACTCTTAGAAAAATCCATAAACCTGATTGTTATACACAGTTTTTGTTGTTTAAAGTGCCGATAGCTGCTCATTTTGCTCGTTTCCAGCCATTTAATGATTAATCTTGGGTACCTCTAGATTAGCTTGGCACCCATCATAACTCCAAATAGTGTGTAATTATTTCAGAATGATAAAACCAGAGAGTCTCTTCCTAAAAATCAGAGGATGGCGCACAACTCCTGTTGCCGGTATTGTGTTGAAAGTGGACAGCACAACGAACTGCGAAGGCATTAATTAATTTGAACTTCTCCTCCATAGATATGTAAACAATGGTACACATATGTACCGATGAAAAGCGATTTGTAACACTCTAAACAAAACGGGTAATTGAGAAACCCCATATTATAACTGGCACAATACAGACATAGTAATTTCTCCAGCCTTACAAAAATTCTCTCTAACGTTACAGAAACAAGGCATTAACAGACATGTAACGTGTTTTTTTTTTTTTTACTTGCCGTTAAGTCCCACCGAGTAGTGGAAACATCACTCCCTTTCAAGTAGCTCCAAGGTCAGTAAATCCAACCGGTGGTCGCTCCGTCTTCCCCCACATACAGTCCCAAACTAGTGAAATTAATTCCAGTGGGTAGCGTAGCACCAACAATATCATCATGGATCTTAATCCGCTTGTTAACCAGCAACACATTTCATGCAGCAGACCGTCTTCCCCCACATACAGTCCCAAACTAGTGAAATTAATTCCAGTGGGTACGCCACTGGGGGCTTCACTGGCACGGCTGCTTGTAGGTTAGACCCGGTCAGTGGGTAGCGTAGCACCAACAATATCATCATGGATCTTAATCCGCTTGTTAACCAGCAACACATTTCATGCAGCAGACACACTGGCCTCCAGCAGTCAAAACAAACAGGTATTGTGCTCCGGGGGAATCCAGTGTTGATGAACTGATCGTTCACCACTGCGGGCGGCTTCACTGGCCAGCTGCTTGTAGGTTAGACCCGGTCAAGTAAAACAGTGATGTCAGGCAAGCTCACATGAAGGCTCACAGCCTGGTGAATATGACCTTTCAAGAAAATCCATATTCACGAGCGAGAGTTTATAAAATGTGTATAAACCATGGTGCTTCTGCACAGAAGTACTAGAACATAGGACGCAGTCAAAAAATTCAGCTTTTACAATGGCACTATGGATGTCTTGTTTTTCTTCACATAAGCTTTATTGAAAATACACATAACAAACAAGGCAATATGGTGGGGGCACTGGTGGATGTCGTGCAACTGCCTGGAGATTATGACCATTTAAGGAAATCCTTACACTAATACTTTTTTTTTTCCCTACCAAAATAAAGTTTCACGAGCGAGAGTTTATAAAATGTGTATAAACCATGGTGCTTCTGCACAGAAGTACTAGAACATATGTAAACCTCACTTTTTGAGCTTTAGGTTGCATCTAAGATGATAATTCACCATTGTAACATTGTAGATAGGTCAGAAAACAAGAAAAAAAAAAAAACAAAGCATGCCATGGGCTCTTTAAAGATTAAGAGACAAGTACGTCAGTAGCTAGCTTGGAGGAGATCTATGGGTTAGCAGGTGCTATAACAAATCAAGGAGTGTATCAAGATCTTTGTGTGTGTGTGTGTATATATATATATATATATATATATATAT